TGAAATGCATTTGTTTGAGGTACATTTCTTTTTGATTGCCGAGCTGCCGAGGGTGATCGTTGTTTTTGGCTTATGTTTTCTGTTTGAGGTTCTAATGGTTGTGAATTTAAATCATTAACATAATCACTACTAATGTTTAGATTTAAATCACTATCATTTTCAGCAATTGAATCATGCTCCAATGATGGTGTTTCAATATTTTCAAAATTTCCACTTGTCCTATAATTAGCAATTGTATCAAAAAATAATACAAAATAAATCAATGATGGTATATATGATTAGATAATGACTAGTAAAATTCAATATTTAATTTAAATCACCTTCTTTTTACGAGAGATTGTTGCAAAAAAGATAACGAATCAGCATATATGTATTTTTTTCTTGATTTTGCTGAATCGCCACTTTTTCCTTGGTTTAAATATCGCATGTAGTTATCTCTGATATGACGCCAAGTATTTTTCATAGCTTTCTCTAGAAATATTAATTGCATTAATTATTGTTTTATATATTATAATGATACTGTCTCTAAAACGCCAACACCAAACTTAAGAAATGGATATTTCTGAACTTCTGCTAGTAATTATAGTAATTTTATCTTATTTAAAATTTTTTTTTTTTTTTTTATAGGTATTTATCAACTGGCTTATCTTTTAAGGCACTCACATTTGACTTTAACTTAGGTAAAAGTACAATCAGCTGTATAGTTTTTGAAACCTGTCAAGTCATATGGACGATTTTACAACCAACAGAAATGCCTCAGCCAACAAATGAAAAGTGGATTGAGATTTCAAAACAATATTACCTCAAAACTAATTTTCCAAACTGTTTAGGAGCAATTGATGGCAAACACATCAGGTGTAAAAATCCTAATAATTCAGGCTCAAACTTTTACAATTACAAGAAATTTTTTTCTATCATATTAATGGCAGTAGTAGATTCAAATCTATGCTTTACCGCAATAGATGTCGGAGCTTATGGAAAGGAAGGGGATTCAAGTGTCTTCAAAAATTGTCCATTTGGAAAGAAACTCTATTCAAACCAACTTAATATTCCAGTCCCAGTTTGCTTACCTAATGTTAATGATAATCCTCAACCATTTGTCTTCATTGGAGATGAAGCATTTGCACTTCATATCAATCTTCTTAGACCATACCCAGGACGTGGTTTAACATTAACGAGAAAAGTATTTAATTATCGCCTATCACGAGCCAGGCGCATGGTCGAATGTGCTTTTGGAGTTTTAGCCAACAAATGGCGTATTTTACATACTCCAATACAGGTTGAACCAGATTTCACTGATATAATAGTCAAGTCATGTTGCATGTTGCACAACTTTGTAAGAGTAAGAGATGGGTATAACAATGAGGATGCAGAAACCCACTCTTTGGATGACGTTGAAGCACATGCTACAGGTTCTCGATCACAAGGAATTGCTGTAAGAGATTACTTTGCTAATTATTTTATGGGACCTGGAGCTGTACCATTTCAGTATAATAACATGTAACTTTTTAAAAACCATTGATTTTTATATTTTCAAATTAAAAATAAAGTAGGTAATTATACAAATTGTATAGATAGTTAAACTATAATAGGTAATAATTGTAAAACCTTTTATGATTTACAGAATACTGTATGTTTTATTCAATAAATAATTTTGATGCTTGAAGTAAATAAATAAGTATTAATATAAAATTGAATATGTATAGGTATAATATTGTGTATATGTCATTGTTATATTATGATGTAATAATATGAATTAATTTGTTTGATTTAGTATAAAATATAAAATAAGGAGGTAGGTAGGTACCAACTTATTTTGTATGTTTAAAATTTTCTTTGTTATGTTAAATAAAGTAAAATTGTATTATTACTGCCAAGGCGTATTACTTTTTAGGTGTTTTTTAATTATAACTAACCTAACCTAGAGTATATTATGTAAAATAAGAATGATAATTATGTTTATGCAAAAGAATTAAGATATTATGTGTATTAATTTTTCTATACAACATAAATATGCGTTTTTTTTATTATAACTATGTTTATAAAAATTATTGACTTAACTTAGTTGGTACTGTAAACTAATTGATTCATTACTATTTGTTTATTCAATAGATAATAGGTATATTATGGTCTTTACAGAATGATTTAAAATTTTAAATGCCTATTTTATTTAGTTAAGACATAGTTAGACACAAACCACAAGAATGTATCTGTTTAAAGCTAAACTACCAAAACTAGTTTACGAAAAAAGTAATATAAAAGGATGGACTTTTAACTAAATATTTAGTTATAATTTAGAAAAAAAACATTATCACTAAATGTGTGACCTAAGACAGGTGTTAGATATAAAAAAAAAAATAATAACTAACTTTTTCTTAGCTAAGTTGAATTAATATTTGTCTTCACATTAACTTTAAACTTTTATACACTTAATGTTAATAGGTAGGTCACTGAAGTTAATTTTTTTCAACAAATTACCTAATACCCTCTCCTCTAAACATTTATTGTGTTAGTTAGTAAAAAAATAAATATAATTATAAGTTAAAGTGTCCAATAAAAAATTGTATAATTACCTGTTTCATCTTTTTCCTGTTGCTGTTTTTCGTTCCAATCAGGGTACATTAGACAACCTACTTCGGCCCAACTTTTTTTTTTTATATTGGCGTTCATATATTCTTTGGAACTAATTTCCCACAAAGCACTTTGTCCATGTACAGCTTGTATTAATTTATCTGTATCCATCATTAGAGAACTTAAAAAACAATTTTAAAATATATATGTGGCCTGGCGCCTAGGAACTAGGATTCACGCGGGATGCGTTAAAAACGGACAATGTGTCCACTGTCATCAAAAACAACGTGTTACAATAAATAAAACGTTATCCGGTATCCGTTTTCAACGCAGCATGTTGCGTTGCTATCCGGCTGACGGACGACGGAACGTTGCGCACCGGACAGTGTGGCCAATTATATTCATATCAATGTGTTTCGTTTTTATCAGCTAACGTATCCGTTTTCACCGGTTACCAACGGACCGGTGAAAACGGATAGTGTGGCCCGGCCCTTAGTCCATTCAAAATTTGATGATGACTCGGCTGATCAAAACTGGTCGCCGCCGAGTCATTATCTCATTTTGAATAGACTACCTATATATATAATAATTATTTATAGTATTGGCTGTTTTGTTATATTTAAGATGCAATAAATAATAATATTCAATAGGTAATATATTATTGTAATTTGCAGTACTTGAAAATTAATTTACATTTTTCGATACTAGTTTTTTTCAGATTAGAATTCAAAATAATATACCTATTGATATTAATATATTATAATATTATAATTTTGACATTGTTGCACTTTATCTATTTAATATTTTTTTGATTTGTAATTCAGTATATTTTAAGTACAATTTAAATACCTATTACCTAATAATATATTATATTGATGCATTATATTATTGTACATAACATATTGTTTTGTCCTCTGTAGCCAAACCTTTATTTTTAATACCGGTCGATGTATATCGAAAACGTTCAAATACTCCTACAGATAGTAAATTTCAATATTTTTATATATTAGGGGTAACTAAATAGCTACTCAGTTACGCCCGGAGTAGCTTATATTAGTGATTCTATATTTTATTTAATTAAGCACAGAAATTGTGCAACTTTATGTAATGTAATATACTATATAAGGTAACTATATAACTCATAAAGATCATAACTGATCATCGACAACATTAAGATCAGTGGCGTAGCGTTCAGCTTAGCGTATATGCATTGAAATGGTAAGTTAATAAAATCGTAGGAGGCTACCCCCCACACCTTATAAACTATTTGTAAAATTGTACTTTAAAGATACAGTTTTACATATTTATTAATATATATATTACCTACATTATTTCGTACATTATATCACAATATTATATTTAATAAACAAATAAATAAATCACTTTTTAAAATTATTTTATTTTAATAATTTCTCTCGTTCTCGTAAAACATTTGATTAAAATAATAAACTTAATAACTAAAAAATTACATATAATATATTAAATCATTTCTTCTATTTTTAGTAAAGAAAGACTATAGCGTATGCAATACTGATCCCACATACACGGGTGACGACCGCAAGCGTTCTATATTTTGTTATTAATATTATCGATAAGAAAATATATAAATAACTGTCGCTGAATGTCTGTTCTCGTATGCAATCGCCAACGTGCATACGGAGTACTGTAATTAACATGGTATGTGATTTTGCTGATTAATGAATCCTAACTATTAATGAACTTGGAAGAAAATCCACAATATATTAGTTACATTATGAAATAAATAATAAATTTTGAACATCAATCGAAGCATTATTTCGACATCTTATCGTGTACACACTCACACAATACACAAAAACACACAACATTGTAAAATCAATACATTCATCGCTCCGCTAAGAATCTAAAAATTAACACGCGTACAAGTATAGGTACTTAGGTATTAATTTAAAAAAACGCATTTAGTTCTTATATAATAAACTCTGAACATAATAATGTACCTATAATTCATGTTCTAATAAAAAATTTAATTATTAACTATCAAATTCTTGATCTAGTAAAAATAACAAATTAAATTAATATAGTCTTTAAGTTAGTCCATAACAAGTATTTCAAATGTAACTATGTTACCCCACCAAGGAATATCCAATTGTACCCCATAGGCCATGGCATAAATTTAAATATATTTATCAATAACTGTACAACAAAGTACAACATAACCTATAATAGTATTATGAGTTCAAAATTTATCAATTAATTACAATTTATACTGTACAATTATCTAACTATCTATATATTAATTCTAATTTCTAAATATTAAGTATTTAAAATTTAAAATTAGTTCAGAAATACTTTAAATATACTATAATATAGTAAAAGATTTTTACGTACGTACTATAGGACTTCTTATCAAATCAAATAACATTGATGACTTCAAAAAAACGTTGGAAATGATAATTATTATTGCATGTTCCGAGACTGAAGGAGATGATGTAAATAAATTATCTACCCCATCGGAAAACGCTCGAAAACATTTAATTAATTATATATCACACGGCGACATCAAAATGACGTCAGAGGAATTTAATGATAGTTCGTATAAAGGTATAAATTGTGGAGAATTTTTCAATAATGTTGACTTAGATAACATAAACGAAGACGCATTACCGATGATTCAAAATTGGATTTCCAAAATAAAAAACAATGCGTTAAAAAAATTAGAAGTCATGGGAGATAGATTGAATGCTTTAAAAAAACCATTATTGCGTAAATGTTCTGAATTTCCATTATGGTCAGCAGTTATGGTTCCACATTTTAAGTCGCCTAACCTAACGGCTACATCTGCTAGAGTTGAGGGATATTTTTCAACTCTAAAATCTTCGATACTTACAAAAAAAATGTCAAGGATGTGTGTTGATAAATTTTTGGTCACGCACATAAAATCTATTAGAGGGGATTTAAAAATTGCAGTAAGTCATAACAATAAAGATTCACAATCAAATCAAATAAACATAAATGTTGATGAATCGATCACTAGTACTGAAATTCATATAGAAGAAAAACCATCAAATACTGACAAAACAGTGCATGAAGACATTATAATAGATGAAAAATCTTTAAGTGATGTAAGTGATGAAAATCAAGCAAACAGTCAAGATTTTTTAGACGATAACAATTCATCAAGTGATTCAGCTACTAATAACGAGGAAATTGAAATTGAAAATTGGAAAAATAAAGCGTACTTGCCAAGTCCACCACCAAAAAAAATTAAGCGATCAAAATATTTAAATAGCCATCCAGAAATTAAAATTAAACAGAAAATAAACCAAAAAATTGTTAAACATCGGTTAGATATAGTGAAAAACGGAAATTTAGTAGGTCCATTATCAATTGGCTCAAACAAAAATAAGAAAAACTGTAAGGTTATAAATACATGTGCTTTTGATTCTATATTACCAGCCGTAGCAACAGCCTACCTGGATTCACAAAATTACACTGAATTTATAGATACAATCAATTGTTCTATATTAAACATTGCAAGTTGATTGGTACATAATGGCACAAATAACCAACTCTATATTGAACGATTTGAGTTACTAAAACAATATACTAAAAAAAATATACTTGTTGGAAATCTCATAGAATATGACGCAAGAGGTAACGTATAGCGATTCTTGCAGAAAGACTTTTCATTAAAACTCCTAGCATTCATCAATTGTATACTTGTGACAATTTTAAATGTGGGCAAACTATTAAAAATATTTCACTATTTCCAATTGATCAAGGAATACTGATGACAGGTAAAAAATAAAATAAATTAAATTATTTCTCATTTAAATTAAATTATTAAAACCAAAAATCATTTTGGTGTATTTTCTAGGACCATTTAGAAGATTACAAGATGCAGTCAATATGGTTCCCTCACAACTCGATAATTATACTAGAAAATGTTACAGGGATGGATATGATGGTACTATAAGTGTCACAAAAGAACTTGGCCAACATTTATTCATTGAAATAAATATAGACACATGGAAGAAATTAGAAAGTTTAAAAATTCTCATTACGGATATACCTGAAAACATTCAAGTAAACAATACTGAGTAAGTGGACTAATGTAATTTTATTTGTAATATACATAAAATAGTTAATACATACTGAAATCCTAAACAATGTCCTTTTATGTTATATACTTTGATTAGCAACCCCTAGTCAAGATTTTATAGGTATCAGAGAAAAATATTTTAGGTTTTGTGTTTTTATTTCCATAAAACATTACATTAAAATCCAAGGTAAATTCGAAATTTTTATTCAATTCCAAAAATAAATAACTGTATCACATTGTCTAAATTTATTTTCTATAAAACATTGTACCAATAACATAAAAGTATGATAGAATATTAGAAATGTAGGTACCCCTTAAAAATATCAAGTCTTGTGGATCTTGTTCTGTCACACCATCTGTACCACATTCAACTAAGCCTAACTAATATTATTTAACGACGCATAGCATATATCAAACTAACGAGCTATACGATAAAACATTTTAATAGATATAAAAGTGCTGACTATCTAAATTACTAAGAAAGTTTAACAATCAATTAAAGTTTGATATAAATACCTACACTATAAGACAAACGAGTGTAAAAATAAATATAGATACCTCATGTACTATGTGCCTATGTTAATCAAAATATTTAAATAGTTTAAAAATAAATGTATATTTAATTTAGTGTGCAAATATTAATGTACAAAACTGTTTGACAAAAAGTTTCAGATTAGTGGCAGTTATTGCATACATATCATCCGAGTTCAGTTCAATGGGTCACTATGTATGTTACACATTAAGAGCTGGTGGATTTTGGGACCTCCATGACGACCTTCGACGAAAAGTTAAAAGACTAAACAATATAAATAACATTATGATAACACCACGTTTAATGTTTTATATAAGAAACAATTAAATTAAATAACAATGTACCTAAATACGATTTTTAAAAGAAATATTATATTGGACTTTTAATAAAAATAAGTAAAGTAACTTAAATGTTAAAAATATTTCATAAGCATAAATTTTGTATTATTTTTATGAATATATTCTAACGAATATAACTCTAAATGATCTTTTTCGAACACTCTAATACAGCGTTTCTCAACCTGTGGTACGTACAAAGCTCATATGTGGTACGCTAAGAAAATCTCGCTTCAAGAAAAAACTGAAAAAGATCATTATTTGCATTAAATTATATTTGTGACTCCATCTGATACCTATCATTAATAACTGTGAATATTACGTTTTCCATAAATTGTAGTTCTTAGAGAAATAATATTTCATATGTACATGTAAAATAACGTTTACATTTTGATGATAAAAAAAAACAGAATGTGGTTAAGTGGTACACGAGCATTTTAAAACTATGTTGATGGTACGACTACATAAAAAGGTTGAAAATCGCTGCTGTATAAGAAATATAAAATAAATAGGGAGCGATGTAATTTAAAATTTTCTGGCTTAGTACATAATGTCTAACAAACCTAGTTTGAGCGAAAAAAAAAGTTCTAACAAACTTTTGCACTGCTGGTTGTAGCAATGCAAAAGTTAAAAAATTCTAGCGCCAAAAATAATGTCTAACAAACTTTGAAAGTTGTCTAACAATCTCTAACAACTAACTAACAAATTTGTTAGACCATTGTTAACGCACGTCGTGTTCTTTCGTATCGCAGTTGACACGACGTACTCGCATTGTCAGGACTCTTAATGTAGCGTATGACAATTGATATTATTATACCAACGTAATAAAGGGGTACACCAAATTTAAATGTAATGTTTATATTATGTGACAGGCCTAAGAACGGCTGACATTACAAACGTAGCTGACTAGACGTCTCTAAGTCCAGCTACCAAATACAAACAGTAAAATAATATAATAATATATAACAACAATGATATGACTTATCTATACTACGGTGGAGGCGGCGCTGGTGTTGTCGAGCGGTAGAGATGGTCGGAGTAGGTGGTGGACGACGGGCGACGGCGTTGACCCATATACCGGTATAAAGATAGACCGACGGCGGCTGTGTTGCCACGACCTTCGATTGAAGATGGGATGGGCGGCGTGCGGTGGCGGCGGCGACGGCTCACTGTATAGCGCACTGCACCTAGCACTCAATTAGATCGGCGGCGGCTGAGTTTCGCGATCTTATGTAACGTGTACGCCACAACAATGTGAGTACGTACGTACGACGCACGTGACACAACAGTACTCGATGTGCACCGTTTGATGGCGACTGACGATTATAACACACGAGACGAGTATAATACGACGCGTAATTTAAAGGTAGACCAGCACAATATAACGGTCGGACGTCGGAACACCGGTCAATACCCACAAGGTCCCCACGGACGTCAAAGGCAGCGACGTCCGATGACAAGAGAGACGGGGCAACTGGTTGTAGACACACCGGCGCGCCGGCACAACATGCAAAATAGCCAGCCAGGTCGATACCACGTCGGGTGGGAAGGGGAATACGCAAGATTAGTCGGCGGCCTACAGGTAGAGTCGCCAACACTGATAGCGGCACGATTTTGCGACGACTTGCGTAAACATCCTCCCCCCCCGTTGGGAAGAGCAGCTTCCCAACGTACTGAAGACTACCGCCGTTGATCAGTGGAAATGGTTATCTTGAGATGGCGAAGTAATTAGTGCAGACATTAGAAGGTGCGAATTTTACAATAAGAAAATGACAAATATACCTGTAAGAGGAGGATAACTATAAAAAAATACACAGTAGAATAATAATACATAATAACAAAAATAATAATACACAGTAATAAACAAAATAAATATTAAACGGTAACATCAATTTTAAATAGTTTATAACGTTTCGAAAGAGTAACGAACAAAAAACAATAATCAATATACAAAACTTATACAAAATTGATCAATGTAACAAGCGGTACGTCGTGTCATTGACACCAAAATAAGAAAATATAGGTTTTTTTTTTTTTTTTTAATAGTGACTGGATTGGGTCAGTGTAAGGGCCTACTATGAGGGTACTGGTGGAGCTGACTAATGGGGCTATTCTGTAGGTAACAGTACCAACTTAACCACAGGTCTAGTTAACTCCCCTTGTGAAGTTAACAATCGGACTACACGAACCACGCCGTCAACGCCTGGGTTGACACTTAGTATGCGTCCTAAGCGCCAGTGGGTGGGAGCCAGCTGTTTGTCTTTTACTACGACCATATCGCCTATCTTAAGATTTGGGCTGCTCTTAGTCCATTTGTTGCGCACTTGCAGAGAGCATAAATATTCGGCGGACCACCGACGCCAGAACGCCTGATGGCATTGGTGGAGAAGCTTCCAACGAGGAACCGATTTGCTAGAAGTCTCTGGCATCGGCAGATCTGGCACAGACAGCAACGGCCGGCCAATCAAAAAATGACCTGGTGTCAAATAGTCCAAGTCCAATGGGGACGAAGACATTGGCGTGAGCGGTCGTGAGTTGAGGACAGCTTCGATTCGACAGAGCACGGTTGATAGTTCCTCCAAGGTTGGATGGTGACACCCCATTACCCTGGACAACAGAGTTTTGGTTGAACGTACGGCGGCTTCCCAGAGACCTCCAAAATGTGGTGCCGCTGGGGGGTTAAAGTTCCAAGAACAGGGAGCGCGAGCTGTCAACCGGTCACGATTTTCTGGATGATTGACCAGTATGGATAGCCGTTTTGACGCGCCAACAAAGTTGGTACCGCAGTCGGAAAAGATTTCTTGAGGCAGACCACGACGAGCTACAAACCTATCGAACGCCGCTAAAAATGCGTCAGTAGATAGCTCAAGAACGAGCTCCAGATGAACGGCTTTGACAGCCATGCAAACAAAAACAGCTATATAGACCTTGTACTCTCTAGGCTTCCGTAGGCGGCATTCTCTCATCGGAAGGGGGCCGGCATAGTCGATTCCGACTTTGGAGAAAGGCTGACATACTTGAACGCGGGCTGCAGGCAAATCTGCCATCAGAGGTTGCGGAGATTGAGCGATAGCTCGAACACAGGTGGTGCATGACCCAATAGTCTGACGAATGACAACACGAACTGACATTATCCAAAAGTTACGGGTTATCAAAGCGGTTATAACCCTGGGTCCAGAATGACACGTAACTAAATGCCAGTGTCGGACGATCAGCTTGGCTAAGTGTGACGTCTTGGGTAACAGCATGGGCTGCTTCTGAAGAGTAGGTAGATCGGCGTGATGTAGTCTCCCGCCGATGCGGATCAGTCCGTTGGAGTCAATGAATGGGCGGAGACGAGCGTATGAGCGTGATGGAGTTCGGTCCGATTCCAGGGTGATGAACAATCCAGACAACAATAGACGCTGAGATACTCGGACAATACTGACAAGTGACTCCTGAAGCTCAGATGCCTGCAAGAAGGCGAGTGGGTACTCCTTACGCTTACAGCGAAAAATGAAACGTCGTACCCACGATATGACACGAAGCATGCGGTCATACGAGGAAAATCGACAAATCCATTCAGATGGTTCA